GTCTCAGAGGGTGAGGAGATCCCCTTTTGGAGATGGGTGGTAGATGGCAGTCTGACATGCCCCTAGGGCACAATATTTATAGGTGGGGTCAACTGGGACCAAGGATTAGGGCACTGGGCTAAATTCTGGTCACTGGATTGGACCCTGGGCCCATCTACACCACACTCAGTTTTTCCCCAACTTCAGAGTGTACCTCACACCTGCCTACCTGGTCCGAAGGGCAGAAATGCAGACTCACTCTTTTTCCAGGAAAAGATGAGCCACCAGCCCACTTAGACTCCTGGGACGGATGTAATTTCCTCACCCTCCCACACCCCTCGCAGCACCCAGCTCCCAGCACCCAGCTCCGAATACCTGAGTAAGGAACCTATTCAGTGGGCTCCTCACACCGTGACAATAAGGAGAACATGTTGCTTTTATCATTTAAAAAAAGAAAGCATATACAACTCAACCCCCAAAACAAACTTAGGAAAAATTTATTCCATTTTTCTAGTGAGAAGTGAAATATGAATGTACTACTTAGGAACTGTATTTCTAACTGCTTTTTACTAACAGTTGTGTCTTAAATGAATTAGGGATTTATTGTCTTGAATGGAAGAAGTCAGTTAAAAAGGCCTTGAGCTGAACAGCCCAGGCCCGGTACAGTGGCAGCTCCATTCTATCGCGCCAGCAGGGACTCAGGCTCCCTTTGTCTTCCTGGCACATCAACCTTAGTCCCTGGCTTTCATCCTCATGGTTCAAGACAGATGCTGGTGCTCCAGCCACCACACCTATGCTTCAGTNTGCACCTAGGCTTCAGTCAGAAACAGGAAGGAAAGAAAGAAGTCAGGAAAATACTCCTCTTTAGCAAGTCAACCCACCTGAGGATATTTTCCAGAAATTCTGCCCAGTAATTTGTACCTCCATCTCACTTACCACTTCTGCCTGAAAGGGAGGCCAGAAAAATCCAGTCTCTTAGCTGAACACATAGTCTCCCTGACAACCCAGGATTCTGATGCTCAGGAAGGACAGAGTGGGTATTGAGAAGGCAATTACCCTTCTCTGTTACAATGAAGCTCCAGCAATTTGAAAAAGCTGTCTCTTAGATTATCAATATTTCCCAATCAATCTTCAAAATGCCTCCAGTACTTCCCATGCGTGAGACCTCCAACTCGTCTCCCNATCTCAGATTATCAATATTTCCCAATCAATCTTCAAAATGCCTCCATTACTTCCCACGCGTGAGACCTCCAACTCGTCTCCTTACACTTTCCACCAGACTTCTGAAGACAGATGCCCCAGGAGGAAGTTCTTCCTGCATATCTGAATGCGGGCCATGTCAAGCTACCCCAATGCTACTTCACTGAGTGTAGTCAGGACACCTGCAGAGTCCTGAATGCTCTCCCCTGCAGCTGCACCTCCAGCTCTCAGGAGTCGGCTGGAGCTGCTAGGCATACCCTGGGCCATCTNGCTCTCAGGAGTCAGCTGGAGCTGCTAGGCACACCCTGGGCCATCTCCCACCTCCCTACCCCCGAGCCCACACGCATCCCAGAGCCTGCACACCTCCAAGAGCATGAGTCAGAGGCCTGGGGCTTGGGATGCACTTGCCCTTGGTGCTGGGATTGAACCTATGATCTGGGCTCGGGACCAAGGGCTTTGCACACCTCTATGGTGAATCAGACTGCAAGTCACCTGANTGAAGGGGTCCTGTCGCTGCATTTAATTCACCTAAACTCAATTATGTTGTTAGAGAGAAGAGAGAGGTGATGTAAATCATAGGAGTAGTTTTATCTGACATCTTGCCCTTGAATGTATACCCCAGGGACCAAGACAAGGCCCCACAAACCTTTTCTCCCTTCCACTCCTGCTGCTTGTCACAGGGTGAGCATTTTGCTTCAGTTGTGATTCTAATGTTGATTATCACTTATTTTAAAAACTCCATGGCCCCTAAGCAAAACCCAACTCCTTCTGCAGATGCCCAACTGGGTAAATAAATGAATCCTTAGCCATGGCCAGTGGAAGGGCAGTGCTGGATCCAGGGGAGTTGTCAAGACCCTTCTGCCCTTGTCATGGAGCCTGTGGACTTTACAGCCCAGTGTCTAAGTGAGAGGCAAGTCCGCTTTATTTGCCCCATCCTGTGGCCTCTGCATCCTGTGTACACAAATACTCAGTATGCAGCAGAAAGGACCAGACACGATGGAAAGTGAAAGAGTAAAGCAGGAGTGGATAGAAGGGCTTCCAGTGGCTTCTTAGTTCCTGCCTCGCCCTTGCTCCTGTCTGCTCCTGTGGGCATGCAGCTGACGCATCCACACTCAGCCGTGCTTCCTGGAAACGCACGGGTGTCACGATGTTTACATACTTATCTGTGCACCCTGGGACTGGAGAGGGGGCTGTGTGACTGACATGTGTCCTCCTGGTCCACATCAGGCCAGAGATGATTGCCTACATGTGACTAGTTGGATTGCGGCTGCCTGATGCCTGCCTTGTGGGAATGGCAGACCCAGCACCTCGGCCTGGAGCTCCTCTGAGGAGCATCAGTCTGAGTGACACATGCCCAGTCTTGCAGTGGAGCTGGCATCTTGCCCCAGCCACAGGTGTGCAATGCTGCCCTCAAGCTTCTGGGAAGGGGCTCTTATCCTTTCTAGGCCTGGAGCAAAGGGTGGGTGCATTTGTAGTGTGGCTGCAGCTGCTCACCATCCCTGGGCCTTCCTTCCCTGCCCGGCATTTGACTGTCCTGGAGCCCAGAACAGGCCCTGCAGTTCTGCCTACCCAGGTGAGCATAGTTTCATGGATTCAGTTCTCAGTTCCTCAGAGGCTTTAAAGGCATCTCATGCCANAGGCTTTAAAGGCATCTCACGCCACCTTCAGAGCCCAGAACCCTCTCTCCAGAGGCTGCAACTCTGCAGAGCCCCTGGCAGAGGCCAAGCGAGGGTACTCTGGGTGACACAGAGACACAGTGATAAACTGGCAGAGACTAGCTGTTCAGGAGACAAGGGTATTTATATAAGATTCTTGTCTCCCTTCTGATTTCATGGCTTTTAAACTGGCTTAAGGGGATAGTGGCTTTTCACACACAATTTTCTCTTGGTAATAACTAGGATTTTCATTCCCATTTTGCAGAGGAAAGAAATTGAAACCCAGAGGTTTTTTCTTAAATCCACTTGTGAAAATTAGCAATGCCAGGAATCAAATCTATAACTTCTATCCCCAAATTCTGTGTATTCATGAGGAAGAGACTAAAATACAAGCTGCCTTTTGGGAAGAATTTGACATCAACGAAGGTTGTTAGGCCTGGGAATGAAGAGCAGATGTGTGTTGTCTTTGAGGCCCACATGTTAATATCTGAGAAATGACAGAATAAGAGAAAGCTCGGCATAAATCCTGGTGTTTTGTTTGTGGCAAAAAAGGAGGCAGAGGGCAGTGGGGATATGACCCAACCAAGTCTCAGAAACTAAACTGACATTTGGAGAGCAGAGTGTACGCACAGTTCAACATAACTAGGGTCTGACTGCACCATGGGGCTGAGATGGGGGGCGCTGGGAAGGGGACTGATGGGCTCTTGGATCTTTGTCTGCTCCTCCTCTGGGTCCACTGAGGGCTGGATTTGGGGTTAAGACACTCAGAATCTTAAGAGGCATCTCAGCCAGTGGTTCAGAGCTAAGACTATTGTGGAGATTGTAGAAATAGCCTTTAATTCTTCCCCTCCTGCAGTCCATGCCCTTGGGGGTCTCCTCCCATCCTGATTCTGGGCGGCTTTGACACTGGCAAACGTAACACAATCGGACACCCAAAAGTCCATTTCTCGTTGAGTCGTCCAGTCTCGTTCCTCTTGGTCCCTGTGACCACCTTCGTGAGACATCTGGGGGAGCTTCCAGCTGACTGTGGAGATCAGTCGAGCAGCCCAGACTGGGAGAGCCAGCCGCCAGCCCACGAAATCACGAGGAACATCAGTGTGTGCTGTTCAAAGCCGTTCTATTTCTGGATGGTTTGTTAGGTAGCAGGAGCTAATTGATGCCATTATGGTGCACATTTGTTTAAGGGTGAAATGTCAGTCTCACTATTTGACTGTTTAACCTAAGAGAAGTTGCTTAACCTCCTTGTACCTTAGTTTCCTCACCTGTAAAATGAAGATAGAAATAGATGATGTAATTGAAAGGGTTAAAGCACTCAATTATTTAATATTTTAATATTCTCAGAATGGGGCCTGGTAGGCAATAAGCCCTACACACAAGCATAGCAAGTATAAAAGATTATATTTTCACCACTTATCCCATATGTAATGAAAACAAAAAATTAATTATGTAAGGATGCCTACAAAGTGTGTTCTGGAGCTACTCAATGCTAGGTGCCATCAGCACGCCCCCTGCTCTCATTTTGTCTACACCCCCATGCTTTTGTCCTGTGGTTCAAGCCTGGGGGAGTCCCCGCTGAGACTCTCTGGGTGGAAAGCTTCTCCCTTGTCTCCTAGCTAACCTGACAAAGGCTTGAGCAGCCCTCCCGGCAGCACCACTGAGGCTCAGAGGCCTCATCTTTATTCAGGCAGGAGAGGAACAGGCCAGAGCAAGAAATGCCAAGGCTGATCTGAGACCCATCTTTCAGTATAGTGGCTGCGACTGGCGATACTGCTCACCTCTCGTGATACCGGCTGCTTCTCAACATACTGCTCAACCGTGGGGACAGTGGTTCCCTCCTGCGACACTGCCCAGCTGTCGCGATAGCGGCTGCCTCTCGGGATACTGCCCACCTCTGGCGATGGCGGATGACTCTCGCAATACTGCCCAACTCTCGCTATAGTGGCGGCCTCTCAAGATACTGCCCAACTCTCACGGTAACGGCTGCCTCTCGCGGTACTTTCCTACTCTCACCGTAGCGGCTGCTTCTTGAAATGCTGCTCAACTCTNTGCAACACTGCTCAACTCTCACGGTAACGGCTGCCTCTCGCGGTACTTTCCTACTCTCACCGTAGCGGCTGCTTCTTGAAATGCTGCTCAACTCTCACGATAGTGGCTGCCATATGCAATACTTCTCAATTCTGGCGACAGCAGTTGTCTCTTGCCATACTGTCCAACTCGCGCAAAATCGGCTGCCTCCCATGATTCTGCTCTACTCTGGCGATAGCGGTTGGCTCTCATGATACCGCTGAACTCTCGTTTTAGTGGCTTCCTCTCTCAATACTGCCTAACTCTCGCGATAGCGGCTCCCTCTCATGATACTGCTCATCTCTGGCGAAGGCCGCTGCCTCTCGTAATACTGCCCAACTCTGGCGATAGAGGCTGGCTGTTGCTATGCTGCACAACTCTCTTGATAGCGGCCTCCTCTCGTGATACCACACAACTCTCGCAATAGCAGCTCCCTTTCGCGATATGGCCCAACTCTCTCAATAGCGGATGCATCTCGCTATACTTACAAATTCTCGTGAAAGGAGCTTCATCTCATGAACTGACATACTCTCGAGATAGCAGGTGACTCTTCGGATACCTCACAACTCTCGCAATAACCGCTGCCTCTCGTGATGCCTCACAACTCTCATGATAACGGCTACCTCTCGCAATACTACCCAACTCGCGAGAGAGTGGCTGCCGCTCGAGATATTTCCCAACTCTGGCCATAGTTGCTTCCTCTCGCGATACTACTCATCTCTGGAGATAGCAGCTGCCTTCCAGGATATTTTATAGCTCTTGGGATAGCGGTTGCCTCATGAGATACTTTCAAATTCTTGAGAAAGGGTCTTCCTCTTGCGATACTGACAAACTCGCAATAGCGGCTGCCTCTCGCAAATCTGCCCAACTTTCGCAACAGCGGCTGCCTCTCATGACACTGCCAACTCTCACAATAATGGCTGCCTCCTGCGACACTGGCCAAATCTACCGATGGCGGCAGCTTCTCGCAATACTGCCCAACTCTGGCGATGTCAGGTGTCTCTCGCGATACTGTTGAAATCTCGTTTAGCGGCCGCCTCTCTCAATACTGCACAACACTTGCGATAGTGGCTCCCTCTGGCAATACTTATCTCTGGCGAAAGCGGCTGCCTCTCCAGACACTGCCCACCTATGTCGACAGTGGCTGGCTGTCGCTATACCGCCCAACTCCCGCGATACCGGCTTCCTCTCCCAATACCGCACAACTCTCCCGATGGCAGCTGCCTGTCGCGAAACTGCCCAACTCTCTCGATAGCGGCTGCCTCTCGCGATATTGCCCAACTTTGGCGATAGCTGCTGGCTTTCGCTGTACCATGCAACTCTCACGACAGCGGCTAACTGACGTAATATTTCCAAATTTTAGCGAAAGTGGCATCCTCTCACAATACTGTCCAACTCTCGCGATAGTGGCTGTGACTTGCGATAATTCCAAATTCTCAAGAAAAGGGCTTCCTCTCTCGATAATGACCTACTCTAGCGATAGCGGCTGCCTCTCTCGATACTGCACGACTCTCGAGATAACGGCTGTCTCTCACGATACTGCCCAAATCTCACAATAGCAGCTGCCATTTGCGACACTGCTCAATTCTGGCAATAGTAGTTACCTTCCACGATACTGCCCAATTCTTGCAAAATCGGCTTCCTCTCGTGATACTGCTCCTCCCTGTTGAAAGCGGCTTCCTCTAGCGATATGTCTCAACTCTGGCGATAGCCCCTGCCTCTCGAAATACCGCATAACGCTTGCGATAGCGGCTGCCTCTTGCTATACTTCCAAATTCTCTCAAAAGGGGCTTCCTTTCGCTAGTCTCCCGGTAACAGCTGCCTCGCCCGATACTAATGAACTCTGGCGAAAGCAGCTGCCTCGCTCTATCTTGCCCAACTCTTGCGATAGCTACGATGCCTCGTGATACTGCTCAACTCTGGCGATAGCGGCTGCCTCACAAAATACTTCCAAATTTTGCGAAAGGGGCTTCCTCTCACAATACTGACAAACTCTCGGGACAGCGGCTGCCTCTCAGGAATCTACCCAACTCTCGCAATATCAGCCGCCACTCGCAATGCTGCCCAACTCTCACGACAGCGGCGGCCTCTCGCGACACTTATAAACTGGCGATAGCGGCTGCCTCTCACGATACTGCACATATCTGGCAATAGCTGCTGCCTCTCGTGAATGTTCCAACACTGGCGATAGCGGCTGCCTCTTGCGATTCTGCTCAATTCTCGAGATAGCGGCTGTGTCTCAAGATACTGCCCAACTCTCGCCACAGCGGCTCCCTCTCCTGATACTTCAAGACACTCACGATAGCGGCTGCTTCTCAATACGGCCCAACGCTCGCGATCCAGGCGGCCTCTGTCGACACTGCCCAACTCTCCCCTAAGCGGCTGCCTCTCAGGATACTGCCCAACTCTCCCGACAGCGGGTGCCTCTTGCGATACTAATGAACTGTGGCGATAGCGGCTGCCTCTCGCTGTCTTGCCCAACTCTCGAGATACCGGCAGCCTCTCATGATACTGCTCAACTCTGGCTATAGCAGCTACATCATGCGATACTTCCAAATTAGCGTGACTGGGGCTTCCTCTCGCGATACTTCCCAACTCTCGCAATAGCAGGTGGCTCTCCCAATACTGCCCAACGCCCGCGATACTGGCTGTCTCTCGCGATACTGCTAAACTCTCGTTTCAGTAACTGCCTCTCTCGGTGCTGCCCAAGTCTCGAGAGGCAGCCGCAATGCTTCCCCACTCTGGCAGGGGCGGCTGCCTCTCCCAATGCTGCGCATCTCTGGCGACAGCGGCTGGCTCCCGGGTACTGCCCCCCTATGGCGACAGCGGCCGGCTCCCGGGTACTGCCCCCCTATGGCGACAGCGGCCGGCTCCCGGGTACTGCCCCCCTATGGCGACAGCGGCCGGCTCCCGGGTACTGCCCCCCTATGGCGACAGCGGCCGGCTCCCGGGTACTGCCCCCCTATGGCGACAGCGGCCGGCTCCCGGGTACTGCCCCCCTATGGCGACAGCGGCCGGCTCCCGGGTACTGCCCCCCTATGGCGACAGCGGCCGGCTCCCGGGTACTGCCCCCCTATGGCGACAGCGGCCGGCTCCCGGGTACTGCCCCCCTATGGCGACAGCGGCCGGCTCCCGGGTACTGCCCCCCTATGGCGACAGCGGCCGGCTCCCGGGTACTGCCCCCCTATGGCGACAGCGGCCGGCTCCCGGGTACTGCCCCCCTATGGCGACAGCGGCTGGCTCCCGGGTACTGCCCCCCTATGGCGACAGCGGCCGGCTCCCGGGTACTGCCCCCCTATGGCGACAGCGGCTGGCTGTCGCTATGCCACACGACTCTCGCAATAGCAGCTGCCTGTCGAGATACTACCCAACTCTCTCGATAGCAAATGCCTCGTGATACTTTCAAATTTTCGTGAGAGGGGCTTCCTCTCAGGATATTGACCAACTCTTGTGATAACGGGTTCCTCTCGTGATACTGCCAAAATCTCGCGAGAGCGGTTGTCTCTCACGAAACTTACCACCTCTGGTGACAGCTGCTGCCTCTCGCAATGCTGCTCGTCTCTGGCTATAGCGGCTGCCATTCACGGTTCTTCCAAATTCTCAAGAAAGGGGCTTCTCTCTCGATGCTGCCCAACTCTCGCAGTAGCGGCTGCCTCTCACAATATCGCCCAACCACCCAGATCGCGGCTGCCTCTCGTGACACTTCCCACTTCTCGCGATAGTGGCTGCGTCTCGTGAAACTGCTCAGCTATCGCGATACGGGCTGCCTCACGAGACACTGCTCAGCTGTGCAGATAGTTGTGGCCTGGTACGACACAGCCCAGATGTCGCGATGGAGGCTGCCTCTTGCGACAGTGCCCTGCTCTTGCGTGAATGGCTGCCTCTCAGGATACTGATGAACTTCGGCGACAGCAGCTGCCTCTTGGTGTACCGACCAAGTCTGATGACAGCAGCTGCCTCTTGGTGTACCGACCAAGTCTGATGACAGCGGCTGCCTCTTGGTGTACCGACCAAGTCTGATGACAGCGGCTGCCTCTTGGTGTACCGACCAAGTCTGATGATAGCGGCTGCCTCTTGGTGTACCGACCAAGTCTGATGATAGCGGCTGCCTCTTGGTGTACCGACCAAGTCTGATGATAGCGGCTGCCTCTTGGTGTACCGACCAAGTCTGATGATAGCGGCTGCCTCTTGGTGTACCGACCAAGTCTGATGATAGCGGCTGCCTCTTGGTGTACCGACCAAGTCTGATGATAGCGGCTGCCTCTTGGTGTACCGACCAAGTCTGATGATAGCGGCTGCCTCTTGGTGTACCGACCAAGTCTGATGATAGCGGCTGCCTCTTGGTGTACCGACCAAGTCTGATGATAGCGGCTGCCTCTTGGTGTACCGACCAAGTCTGATGATAGCGGCTGCCTCTTGGTGTACCGACCAAGTCTGATGATAGCGGCTGCCTCTTGGTGTACCGACCAAGTCTGATGATAGCGGCTGCCTCTTGGTGTACCGACCAAGTCTGATGATAGCGGCTGCCTCTTGGTGTACCGACCAAGTCTGATGATAGCGGCTGCCTCTTGGTGTACCGACCAAGTCTGATGATAGCGGCTGCCTCTTGGTGTACCGACCAAGTCTGATGATAGCGGCTGCCTCTTGGTGTACCGACCAAGTCTGATGATAGCGGCTGCCTCTTGGTGTACCGACCAAGTCTGATGATAGCGGCTGCCTCTTGGTGTACCGACCAAGTCTGGCGATAGCGGCTGCCTCTCCTGATACTGCCCAACTCTCCTGATAGCAGCTGCTTCTCGAGACACTGCTCAATTCTCTGGCTAGCGGCTGCCACTTGCGAAACTTCCCAACTCTCGCGAGCCCGCCCAACTCTGAGGATAATGGCTATCTTGATACTGCCCAACTCTTGGGATAGAGGCTGCCTCTCGTGATAGTGCCCAACTTTCACAATAGCAGCTGCCTCTCAAGATACTAATGAGCGCTGGGGAGCGGCTGCCTCTCGCTATTTTGCCCACATCCCACGATATCGGCGGCCTCTCGCGATACTGCTCAATCCTGGCGATAGCGCTTTGCTCTCACGACACTGCCCAGCTCTCGCAAAATCGCCTGCCTGTCACGATACTGCTCTACTAGGATGATAGCGGTTGGCTCTTGCAACACGGCTCATCCCTGGCGAAAGCGGCTGCCTCTCACGATATTGCACAATTCTCGCAAAAGTTGCTGCCTCTTGTGATACTTCCAAATTCTTGCGAAAGGGGCTTCTGCTCACTATACTGCCCAAGTCTCGGGATATTGGCTGCCTCTCACAATACAGCACAACTCTCGCGATAGCGGCGGCCTCTCGTGATACTGCTCAACTCTGGCTATAGAGTCTGCTTCACACAATACTTCCAACTTCTCGTGAACGGGGCTTCATCTCACGATACTGACAAAGTCTCGAGAAAGGGGCTGCCTCTCACGAATCTGCCCAACTCTCACAACATCGTGTCCCTCTTACTATACCGCCCAACTCTCACAATAGCGGCTGCCTCTTGGGATACTGCCCAAATCTAGCGATAGCGGCTGCCTCTCGCGAATCTGCCCAACTCTCGCTATATTGGCTCCCTCCTCCGATACTGCCCAAACTTGGCGATATTTATGCCTCTCCTGATACTGCCCAGTTCTCGCGATAGTGGCTGCCTCTCGTGATGCTGATGAACTCTGGTGATAGCGGCGGCCTCACGTGATAAAGCACAACTCTCACAGTAGCAGCTGCCTCCAGCGATACTGTGCGTCTCTCATAACAGCAGTGGCCTCTCTGGAAACTTCCCATCTCTTGCAGCGGCGGCTGCCTCTCTCATACTGCCCAGCTCTCGCAACGGCGGCTGCCTCTCTCATACTGCCCAGCTCTCGCAGCGGGGGCTGCCTGTCTCATACTGCCCAGCTCTCGCGATGGGGGCTGCCTCTCTCATACTGCCCAGCTCTCGCGATGGGGGCTGCCTCTCTCATACTGCCCAGCTCTCGCGACGGCGGCTGTCTCCTGCGATACTTCCCTCTCCCATGAAAGCGGCTGCTCCTCGAGATGCTGCTGAACGCCCGAGGTAGCGGCTGCCTCTGGCGATACTGCTCTGCTCTGGTGAAAGCAGCTTCCTTCCCAATATTTCCCAACTCCTGCGAGAGCCCCTGCCTCTCGCAATGCTGCCCAAATTTGGCGACAGTGATGCCTCTCGCGATACTGCCCAGCTCTCGATAAGGCTGCCTATCTTGACACTCCACAACTCTTGGGATGCAGGTTGCTTCTCATGATACTCCCCAGCTCTCACGATAGCAGCTCCCTCTGCTGATACTGCCCAGCTCTCACGATATCGGCTGCTTCTCGCAATGCTTCCAAACTCTGGCACTAGCTGCTGCCTCTCGTGACGCTGCTCTACTCTGGCGATTGCGGTTGGCTCTCGCCATACTGCTCAACCATGGCGAAAGCGGCATCCTCGTGCGATATTTCCCAACTTTGGCGAGAATCCCTGCCTCTTGCGATATGACCAATTATGGCGACAGTGGCTGCCTCTCGCTAACACTCCCAACTCTCCCAATAGCGGCTGCCTCTTGGGATAAAGCACAACTCTCGAGATAGCCGCTGCCTCTCCCAATGCTGCCCAACTCTCACGACAGGAGCTGCCTCTCGCGATCCTGCCCAATACTCACAATAGAGGCGACCTACCATGCCACCTTCCAGCCATGTCATCTGACAAGTTCCGAACAGGGAGAGGAAGCTTCACAGAAGGCGTCTTCTGGGGAGAGGACCTGGCATGTGGGTGGGAGGAACTGGCTTAATGGGAATCTCTCTTCTCCTCCTTAGACAGGGATATTGGGTCGTAAAATCAATATCTAACCTGGGAATGGCAAATAATGATTTGCTCCTAAAAATCACATCTCAAGAAATCCCGATTTCCCCAAGTCCAGTCTTTACCACATTTGCTGGATACTTTCACAAATTGTTATTAGAAGCAGCTAAGAAAACTCCCCCTGGCGCCCCCATAAGGCATCTATGGAGGAACTAGAGAAAGCTGAGCTCACACAGCCGCCGATCCTCAAGTGCCCCCACCTATGACTGCAGGATTAGTCGAGGACAGGAAAAAGGCCATCGCCACTCGCCTGCTGTACAAGGACCACCCTGGGTAGCACACAGAATAAATGGCAGATTGTGGCATCCCCCTGAAGGGGCTAACAGTGTGGAAAGGCCACCAGACCCTCCTCTGCCTTATAGAGGGGCTTACAATGAGAATGGAATCAGAATAGTTAATGTAAATGGAAGCCATGGTCAGTATGAGAACTTGCCCTTCATGAAACGCTTGGCAAGGAGGTGGCCACGCCGGTGCTTGCTCCCAAAGAAACGAAAGAAAAGCATTCTTAGCAGTCAATCAGTACCTATGGCAAAAGGCACTCTTTTCTTAGAAGAAAATGGCAAGAAGAATATAATAGCTTAAGAATAGGTCCATAGTTAAAATATAACCACAAGAAAAGTCAGTAGTAACCCCAGGTAAATATTATATAAAATTCCTGTCTCACAAGCCAATATATTCCTGCTGCAAACAAAGCCACATCTATCACTTTATAGGTCACTGATTTTTCCTTTCTCCTCTATTCTAAAATATAAAAGTCAAAATTGTTCCATTCTGATGAAATCGAAACTTGTATTGTTTAACCTATGAGTAGTATTCTCTGCTTTACTAATCACAGAAAAGTAATGGTAGCCAAAAAAGAAAGTATAAAAGATTATGTTGATTCTCAATAAAGTGGAACAGTGTCACACCACCTCCCAGTCGAGTAGTCTGATGTCTCCCAGCGCCGACGACTTGCCCACCTTCGGGAACCCTGACTCCTGCTGCGGCTGGACTGCGGCAAGTGGCGCCCGAACAGGGACCTGAAGGTAAGTCATTGAGTTACGGTAGGGATAGGCTCTCGCCCATTGGGTGCTGCAGACCCCTTAGCAGAGGAGGCTAAGTAGAAAGGGCGAGTAATCATGGGGCATATGGAGTCTAAAGAAAGAGGACTCTTTATTGATATAACTAAGCATATGTTAAGTAAAAGAGGAATTCATGTATTTCATAGGCAACTTAAAGAATTTCTTCATTTTGTACAAGAATGTTCCCCTTGGTTCCCAGAGGAAGGTACTTTGAATTTAGGGACTTGGAAGAAATTGGGGAAGGAAATGAAAGTATACTATACTATGCACGGGCCTGAAAGAGTCCCAGTAGATGCTTTCTTACTTTGGAATTTGCTGAAGGATAGTTTTGATCCTACTCATGAGGCTGTATGTTTTGCAAGACAAGTTACTGAGGAAGTGGTTAGACAAGTTACTGAGGAAGGTGAAATTAAAAAGGCTAAAAGTTACACGAGTATTAATAGTCATGACTCAGCCAGACCTCCTTGTAAGCCCGTAGTAAAATTAGACCAAGAGGGCCACCCCAGGCCCCTACTCAAAGCTGGGGAACTCAGACACGAAGAAGCGACCCATCCATGACCTAGAAAGGGCCTCCCCTGGGAGTGCAGGGTTATATCTATCTGCCTCTAATTTTTCTATAAGTACGCCTGAAACACAAGTGACTCTTATCTCCACAGGAATATTTGGCCCCTTACCTAAGGGATATGGGACTAATTATAGGAAGAAGTTCAAGTTCTAAGGCAGGGATACAGGTCCTCCCAGGAGTAATAGATTCAGACTATACAGGGGAATTAAAAATTATGATTCCACCTCCAAAAAAGACTACACAAATACACCCGGGACAAAGAATAGCACAATTATTATTGCTCCCTTACTTGGCCCTTCCAAATGTTACATTAAAAGAAGAGAGAGGAGATGAAGGATTTGGCTCTAGTGATTTAGTAGCTTGGATACAAAAAGTAGGAAGGCATAGACCCATGAAAAAAGTATTGATAGAAGGAAAGGAAATAGAGGGCTTAATTGACACAGGGGCAGATGTCTCCTGCATAGCTGGTAAGGACTGGCCTTAATACTTGGCCCACGACACAGAGCTCCTCTACCTCAATAGGATTAGGATTGGCATCTAATATGGGAAAAAGTTCCAGTATTCGACACTGGGAAGATAGTAATGCATCAGGGACGTTCCAGCCTTATATAATTCCTTCCCTACCTTTTTCCCTATGGGGAAGAGATATATTATCTCAAATGGGTATGACTCTAGAAGTCGCAGAAAAACAGGAACCAAATCTTTTATGACTATGACCACTGTTCCCTCTTATGCAGACCCTATACAATGGAAAACAGATGAACCGCTTTGGGTGAAACAGTGGCCTTTAACAAAGGAAAAATTAGATGCTGCATCAAAGTTAGTAAAAGAGCAACTAAAACTAGGGCATATAGAACCCTCTAATAGCGCGTGGAATACACCTATTTTTGTTATTAAGAAAAAATCTGGAAAATGAAAATTGTTACAAGACGTAAGGGCAATAAATAAAACCATGGTTACTATGGGAGATTTACAATCTGGGGTCCCTTCTCCTGTTGCTATACCCAAAGATCATCAAGTCATAGTTATTGACTTGCAGGACTGTTTCTTTACCATACCTCTATCACCTAATGATTGCAAGAGATTCGCCTTTGGTCTGCTGTCAGTCAATTGACAGAGGCGTTATCAAAGATATCAGTGGAAAGTATTACCTTAAGGAATAAAAAAATAGACCTACACTATGTCAAAAGTTTGTTGATATAGCATTACAAAAGCTCAGAATACAATTTCCTGCTGCATATATTATTCACTATATAGATGATATCTTAATAGCACACAAAGACAAGGCAATTTTGCAGGAACTGTTACAGAATATGGTCCTAGAATTAAGTAAGTATGGATTGGTTGTAGCGCCAGATAAAATTCAAACAAGCTCTCCATTTAATTATCTAGGACAAATCATTAATTCTCCTCTAGTACATACTCAACAAGTGGCTATTAGACATGATCAGTTAAAGACTTTAAATGATTTCCAAAAATTATTAGGGGACATCAATTGGCTAAGGCTGTACTTAAAACTAACAACTCAGGACTTGAAACCCCTTTTTGATATACTAAAGGGGGATCCATCTCCGACCTCAGTTAGAGTACTGACAACGGAAGGAAAAAAGGTCTTACAACAAGTAGACAAGGCATTAACTGAGAATAAGTTACCCAGGTAGACTACACTGAGCCCTGGCTGTTAATTATTTTAAAAACCCAATACACTCCTACTGCCTGCTTGTGGCAGGGGCTAGCCTTAGAATGGTTGCATCTACCTTCGACCCCTAGGAAAGTAATCTCATCATATCCTCAGCTAGTTGCACTACTAATTACTAAGGGAAGAATCCCTAGTAAGGAGCTCTTTGGGTTGGATGTGCAGGAAATTATTATTCCCTATACTAGAGAGCAATGTGATCAATTTTTGTGGTAGAGGACCAATGGGCGATAGCATTTGCCGGATTTATGGGGAATATAGTATTTCACCTACCTCCACACCCATTATTACATTTCATGAAAAACACCTCTGTTATTTTTCCTACTCGATACTCTGCAAAGCCTTTGCCTCCCCCACTCAGTGTTAATATTTACAGATGAATCCTCAAATGGGATGGTGGTGACAATCATTGAAGACAAATCTATTAGTCAACAGACAGGGGAAACCTGTCTGTTGACTAATAGATTCAACCCAGAGAGCTGAATTAGCTGCTGTAATTGCTGCCTTTCAGCAGGTACAGGCTCCATTTAATCTAGATACAGATTCAGCATATATTGCTCAATTATTTCCAGCAATCGAGACAGCATTAATTTCCTCCAATTCCACAGTAAGTAACCAGTTTCGGGAGTTACAAAATTTAATCCATTGAAGAGTTCATTCATTTTTATTCGACACATTCATGGGCACTCTAATTTAGAAGGCCCTTGAATGAAGGGGAATGAATTAGCTGATAAATTAACTAAATCTGTAATAATGACAGCAATAGAGGAGGCTTCAGCCTCTCATGCTTATCATCACCAAAATGCTTCAACCCTCAGGCAGCAATTCCACATTACAAGGGAACCAGCTCATCAAATATTTAAGCAGTGTCCGGTTTGTGTAACTTTTCTCCCCTCGCCTCAGATGGGAGTCAATCCTTGGGGGTTGAAGCCTAATGTATTATGGCAAATGAATGTGACTCATATACCCAAATTTGGAAAACTGTCATTTCTTCATGTTACTACAGACACATTCTCACATGTAATATTTGCTTCTGCCAGAAGCGTTCAAGGCGTTGGCACAACATATGATTCAAACCTTTGCATATATAGGGACACCAAAGAACTTAAAGACTGATAATGCTCTGGTATATACATCAAAGGCTTTCAAAGAGTTTTGCAATACATTTCAGATTAAGCATAATACAGGAATTCCTTATAATCCACAAGGACAAGCAATTGTAGAAAGGGCTCATC